TGTCAGGTGAACCGCCTCCTGGTGAAGCGGATGACAATCTCGCAGGCTAAGCCTGTCTGTTTTGAAGCGCACCTGGCATCCGGCAATGGCTGCCAGGCTCTGAAGGAGATGAACTTCAAGCTCATCTCCAACTTCTTCCTGACGACCTTCCCTACCAACATGCTGCTCGCCTGACTGGAAGCCTTGCGGGAAGGAAACGTTGGTGGCTTCAGGTTGAAGTTCCCGGTCTTCGAGATCATTAATATGGCCATGACATTCACTGCCTTCAGCCCTGGAATGAGCAGCACAGCTGAAATAGGGTAGGTTCTGGTGATTCCATCGCAGGCCTGCCATACTGAGGCGGAACCATCAGCGGATTCCTGTTCTGCACAGCCATGTTGCCTGCCAAGGGCTCAGCATTCCTGTCGAAGGCATCGTCTTGAAACTGTGTCACCTTGCCGAGCTCAAGCAGCTGGTGCTCGCTTCAGGTCACGAACTACCGCTTCCGCAAGAGCATGGGATGGGAGATCAAGCCAGCGCTGCTTTACCAGGCTTACGTTCCAGCCTGAGTGCGGGTTCGCGCTGCTACAACATGCTGGCACAGGGAAGCCAAGCCAGATGAAGTTATACCCAGGTGCCAACCGTCGTGCGCGATATCTTGTATGGTTGGGCTCGTGGCTTCGTGGCTGTGGCCGTGGCATCAGTGTGGAAGCCCCAGACGTTCACGCAGGAGGCTCGTCGCATGCATTGCATGCATGGCCCTGCATGGCCCAGCATGTCCGGCACCAAGATGCCGACTTCCTTCACTGGCAGGCCTTCGTTTTCGCCTTTGTGATCTGGGCAGCGTGTCACTAAGCGGCAAGCAGAGACAGACAGTGGGTGCTGCAGAGGCATCCATGGTGAGTGAGGCAGTTGGTTCTTAGAACTTTAGTGTGGCATAGCAGGCATCATCTCCTCCCCTTGCAACGAGTGGCGTGGCTACACCCTTCAGCCCAAGGACAAGAAGCCGCTAGGCAGCAGACAACAGTCGCCTTCAAAGGTTGGCTTCTTTTGAGTGACGCTCTTCGAATACTGATTGGGGATGGCACCAGGCTGTCCTTCGGTGAGTACTTCAAGCCCATCAACTACGCGCGTTCCACAGGTCTCACGGCTTCATTTGGCTTGAAAAGGCTGTCATTTTATTTTGGTGCTGGGAAGGTGTGCTTGGTTTGTTGATGTTGAGAATGTGTGAGAATGTTGGGGAAGAGGCATTGGCGCCACTATCATGGGCATCTCCCTCTTCGTGGGCCGACTAGTCACCCCTTTCGCGGAGACTGCCTTCGCGTGCCGCAGCCGGAAATGCGAAATC